TCATCTCCATCTATTCCATTCAGCCCTCTAAAGGGTGCTAACCCCCCAGGGAATAGTCCTACCAGTGTATCTTTCCACTGTGCCCCCACTGGCTCCCCCAACCCCAGCTAGGTTGGGACCCCTTCTTGACAGAAAAAACAATGATATAAATGTGGGATGAGGTCCTGCTGGGAGCTGGACACACCAACGAGACACCTGTCGCCTCTCACCTCACCCTTCGTTAGCCCTGGAATTTCCAAAGGCGTGTCCCTTTATGAGAAGTTTCCACGTATAAGAATGTGGACAATGCCCTCGGGATAGCATTATGCCCGTCCAGGCCTCACCGAGCTGGCAGAACCTGGCCCTGCCTAGTTCAGGCACTGCCCTGTCAACAACCCGGTCAGCAGGGAAGCACCTGGGAGGAAGGCGGGCCTCACTGCCCTCTCTGTGGTCCAGGAGGGGAGGGAGACCCAGAACAGGGCCTCCAGTGCTGGGCGGGGAATCTCCACCAGGCAACAGGTCAGGTGGGCCCCTGCGTCACCCACCTCGCAGTGCCCTCTACACAGCAGGCACCGGGTAGAGGGGGACAGGGCCAAGCTCCCAGGTGTGATCGGCTGGCCAAGGTGCGCAGTCATCCGGGTCTAGCCGGGCAAGGGCTGCCGAAGAGCCACTCACACGGGTTTCCCCTCTGGGCCACAAGTGGGTCACAAACCTCAGCTTTTGGGGGCGCGTATTAGATGTGGACTATGTTATTTCCGTCTGAATTGCTCAGATTCTCATTAAGCCGTTTATACTCCCACCTCCACCCCCCACCCGCCCCCCGCCCCGAAAGGATTTAAGGATGCCTTAAAATCCAGCAGGAGAGAACACAAAAACCAGCCACTGGCCACTCGGCGGGCAGGGCAGGCACTGAGAGTTAGAGACCGCTGCTCTGGGGCGCCCCTCCTCCAGGCCAGGACGGCCCGGGCCCTTCCAAAGCTCAGGTGGAGGTGGGGACAGCCCTTCGACCCACAAGACCGCGCCCTGGGAAGACTCTGCGCAGGCCTCTGTGCTGGGCCGAGGCGGAAGGAACTGGGTACCGCGCATAGCCTGCGGTGCAAGCCAGCCCTGGACACAGGGACAGCTCTGCGGCGGGAGGGGCGGGTGAGAAGGCTCCCTGGAGGAGGAGGCCTTAAATAGGCGAGTAGGACTCCCCAGGAGACGGGGGCAAAGGCAGTAGGCACAAGAGGGAAGCGTGGGGACCCCTGGAGAGAGAGGCCTCCATAGAGGGGAGGACGCGCTGGTTAAACCAGAGTGACCCTGAGTCTCCCGGCTCGGGGCCCTGGCGACCCCACCCTCCCAGGTCCCACTGGGCCAGCCCCTGGGGTCACGGCAGGCCGCTCGCGGCCCCCCAGGCGGGTCCGATCGCAGCGACGCCGATTCCGCCACGATCCTGAGTCCCCCTTAAAAGTTTGTCCCCAAAGAAACCCCTCTCTCTCTGTGCCGCGCCGTGGGAAGCAGGACCATCCCCGGAGGAGGCTCTGAAGACAGAAAGGGGTGCCCTCCTCCAACCCCTCGCAAACAACAATAGGCGACCGACCGAAAGAGAACGAGGGAATCAAGCGTGGAAAATCCCCCAACCCTGCAATGTCAATGCTGGGCGCGCGGCTGGCGGGCGGCCGCGGTGCTGCCTCCACGCGCCCTTCCAAGGGACTGCAGCCCGGGAGGGAGGGGTGCTACGGGTTGATCTCCTGGTTCTCAGATTCTGAGGACGCAGGGCAGGTAGGGAGGGAAAGCTTGCGTTTGGGTTCTTATGGCTATTTTAGGCTCAAAGGAAATTGCATTTCATTCCTAAAGCCAAAATCTTCTCACTGCTTGCACTTTCCCGAAGCAGAAGTACAACGACTTGTTTTTATTTGATGATCACATCCTACAACTAGCCGTGTTTTTTTCTCTTTCTTCGATATTTAAGCCAGAGATCATACATTAAAGACTTTATGAAGTGAATAGTCAGAGGACAAAGATAGTCACGGAGCAGAAGAGCGGCGATTGCTTTTTCCTGAACTTTGAAAACACTCAAAGCTGGGCGCTGCATCCAGCAAACTATTAGCCCTCCGTATATGCATTCATACACGGTCTTAGGACCGTGGGGAACCTTGGCTACCAGGCCGATCAGGTAGGGAGAGGAAGGAAACAGCGCGTGAGGAGGACCCAACTGAGTGCCAGGCGCTTGGCGACGCTGTGACCTCACTTGAGATCCACACCGCCGTTTGATGTGTGTTTCTGCGGGTTGTCAGGAGGACAGTGGAGGCTCAGCAGGGAGTAGATTGATGAGGCTGCCAGTCGGGGAAGGGCAGAGTCTGTATTCCATCCAGCTCCCAAAGGTCCACTGATTCACTGAAGCAACTTGAGTCCATCCGTGGCTCCTCTGACTTGACTTGGCGATAAACTCACCTATGGCCTTGGGGTCTCACAGTGTGTGTGCAGCACTTAAATCAAAGGGGATAACTGAGTAAAATCCTACAGCCATCTAGAAAGATCTTCTTCCCCCTAAAGGAACTCTAGGAAGAAAAGACTTCCGAGCTAAATAGGAGGTTCCCTATGAGCCATTCTGGCAGGTACAAAGCTGGATTAAACAGCTTCCCTGGCAGAGCTGCTAATCCGAGGGTCAGGAAGCTCTGGCTCCCATTACGGCTCCTGGGAGGGGCAGCCACCCACTGCAGACCCTGTACTAGACCCTCTATCCTCTCTGGGCCTTAGTTTCCCCATTGGGACAGTCAGATTTTCACAAGATGGGGCCGCAGGCCAAGCACAGATGATTTTGGTGGCCTTTCGGTAACACTGCAGGTTTCTCCTGGACATTCTGGACCACATTCCCACCTGGCAGCAGAGAGGACCTGAGGAATGGTCCCTCTGGACCCTCTCGCTGTGCCCTGCTCCAGCCTTGGCCCCTGGCCTGGGGGAACCGAGTGGAGTGCAGGGGTGAGTAAGGGCCAGATGGGCCAGGATCAGAATCCCAGCTCTGCTGACTTCACAAGAGTAAGAGGAGCTCTGCCAGGCCTGGGGGCCACCTGGGGTCTCCACGCTGGGCCCAGACACCCAGAGCTGAGGGGATGGGGTGCCCGCAGGGGAGGCTTCTGCTCAGGCTTTGTTCACCCTGCTCTCAGTTTTCTCTTCTGTAAGATGGGTATTATAGTCTCCTCCGCAGATTTGCTGATGGGCTCAGATATGAGACATCTACAGTGATTGGTACCCGGTAGTTCTGGGTAAAGAGCAGCCTTCATTACAATTCACCACTTGACAGAGGATTGTCATCTGGGGAAGGACACCCATTGGGTTGACCCTGGACAGCTCTGCCCTCCAGGTCTGAGCTGCTGCCTCCAGGGCCATAAAGGAAGCCTCCCCAAGCCTCAGCCCAAAACGGGGTCAAGTGACTGCAGACAGGCAGGTGGCTCCAGGCTCCCCACTGTGCCAGCCTCCACTCCTGGCAAGAATGAATCATTGCTGGATAAGTCTGAGCAAGGTACCCGCAGGCCTCCTGGGCCAGGTCCAGTTTTCAGGCAGCTAGAGGATGGGCGGGGGCTTTGGGGCCCTGGGTCACACTGGGGACTGGTCACCCTACACCACCCCCAGCGGGCCTTAGGTCACCCTGTACAGTGCTCAGCGTGCTGCATCAGAGTGGATGTGTCTTCAGCCCCTTCTGAAAACTGCATGCTCCCCTCTTAGTTGGGTTTTCCAGTTCTCCGGGTTTGCTTACCAGAAGGGATTTCCGGCATGATTTTATATATTTTCAACAGTTTAGTTGAAGTATAATTCCTCACAAACCCTCCCCCCGCCCCCATGCTTTCAGGACCCGCGACAGAACAGAAACCAGGGGAGTTCCTGACATGGGATGACATGGGCATTTGAACCCAGGCCTGGCAGCTGCCTGAGTCCAAAAACTTGGACCCAGCCCAGCGATGCGGGACACTGAGATTCTCTCAGCAGGTCATTTCTCACCCTGGCCCACCCCGTTGCACGGAGGTGCCACAGCTCCTGAGCCCAGTCAGGGTCAGGCGGTGTGGTTCCAGGGCTAGTGCGGGGAGTCTGGCTCAGGGCCCAAGCTGGCAGGCGGGGGGGGGGGGGGGGGGGGGGGGGGGGGGGGGGGGGGGGGGGGGGGGGGGGGGGCAGGCTGGGCTAACGGGGAGGGGGGCCCGCAGGGCCCAGGGGCACCACCGCGGATAGGAGAGGCCCAGGGCCGCTACACCCTCTGACCCATCTACCAAAGCCAGAAGTTAATGTTTTTGTGGACCATCAAAATTTTAAATATTGGTTCAACTTTTTATAACTTTTTCATTGGGATCATAATAAACTTGGAGGTAAAAGCGCCCATTGACTGAAATTCCTTTTAAATAACGAAGGACTGCATAAAGCCGGCCCCTGCGGACACTTCTGCATCTCTCCACGAGGAGGGAAGGGGGGAGGAGTGGAGGGGGGAAGAGGAGGGGGACGAGGGGGAGGGGGAGGAAGGTTCCACCACTGCCGTGGGTCCCAGGCTCCCCACCCCCAACCCTCCCTCGTTCCTTCCCGACCCGCGCCCCGCCCCACCGCCCCCAGATCCCACCAAGTCCATCCAGCCCGGGCCCCCTCGCGTTCGGATCTTCAGAGTGTCCAGCGTGCAAAGCCAAGGCTTCCCTCCAGTGAAGCAGTGAAGGGAACCCAGGCCCCAAGGCACCCGCCGCCGCGAGCCCCTCCAGCACAGAAGGGCCGTCCGCGCCTCACTACACGTTTCTCCAGTCTCTCCCCACGCCTCTGAGGACAGAGGTCAGTTCCCAGTCCTCGCTGCCCGCCTCGGAGCGGCCTCCTCAAGGCCGGAGACCTGCGTCCGGGGACCAGGTACCGGCCTGCAGCCCCGGGGCTCTGGGGGCGGGGCCGCGGATCGACGCGGGCGGCGACGGCAAGAGGCGCGGCGGGGGCGGGCCGGGGGCGGGCCGGGGCGGGGCGGCGGCAGACTGCGGAGACGCGGCGGCGCGCGGGGCGGCGCAGAGCGTTCTCGGCGCGGCGCGGAGCGGAGCTGACCGGCGGGCGAGGGGCCGCAGGGGGAGCGGACCGGGCCGGAGCCGATCCGGAGCTGAGCCGGGATCGGGCCGCGGAGCGGGACCCGGGCGAGGAGCAGCCATGGCGCCGCGCAGGGCCGGGGCCCGCGCCGCTGCGGGCGGCCTGGGTGCCGAGTAGCCGGGCCGGAGCGCGGGCGGCGGCGGCGGCGGAGGCAGCTGCGCCCGTGCCCCCCGCTCTCCAGGCCCCGCGCCCCGCGCCCGGGCCGCCGGCGATGGTGACACATGCGGCGGCGGCGCGCCGGCGGCAGGACCATGGTTGAGCGCGCCAGCAAGTTCGTGCTGGTGGTGGCGGGCTCGGCGTGCTTTATGCTCATCCTCTACCAGTACGCGGGCCCGGGACTGAGCCTGGGCGCGCCCGGCGGCCGCGCGCCGCCCGACGACCTGGACCTCTTCCCCACGCCCGACCCGCACTACGAGAAGAAGTACTACTTCCCGGTGCGCGAGCTGGAGCGCTCGCTGCACTTCGACATGAAGGGCGACGACGTGATCGTCTTCCTGCACATCCAGAAAACGGGCGGCACCACCTTCGGCCGCCACCTCGTGCAGAACGTGCGCCTCGAGGTGCCCTGCGACTGCCGGCCCGGCCAGAAAAAGTGCACCTGCTACCGGCCCAACCGCCGCGAGACCTGGCTCTTCTCCCGCTTCTCCACGGGCTGGAGCTGCGGGCTGCACGCCGACTGGACCGAGCTCACCAACTGCGTGCCCGGCGTGCTGGACCGCCGCGACCCCGCCGCGCTGCGCACGCCCAGGTGAGCGCCCGCAGCCGGCCGCGCCGTCGGCCCGGGACGGCGGGGTGCCTGCTCGCGGCCGCTCCCCCGGGCCCGGCCCTCGCCGGCCGGACCTGCGCCCGCCCTCGCTCCCTGCCCTCTTTTCCTGCCCTCTTGGGGACCCCACTCACCGCGGCCCTTCTGGACCCCATCCTGATCTCAGGGCGTCCGAGCCCCCAGTTGGTCCGCCGCCGTCCGCCGCTCGAATCCCGCTCTCACCTCCTCCTCTGTGCCTCTTTACTTTTCCCCACCACCCGGCGGGCTGCGCGGAGCCTGGGCTTCCCGGGGTCACCGTCCCCTGCCCGCGGCCCGTCACCTGTCGTGACCCAGCTCTGGGTCCAGGCTGGCCTGTGTCGTCGGGCGGGAAGACGGGTTCCTGTGCGAGTGTAACCCACCTGGAGTGCTCACTTTCCTGCGCCGCTCTCACGCCCAAATCGGAAGTGAGAGAAGTGAGGTGCCTCTCCCCCTGCACCTGCGGGGCCCCCGGCCCGCCAGCCTGCCTCGAGAGGGCTGGGGAGGAGCTGCCAGGGAAGGGGGCTGGCTCTACTGTGCCCAAGTGTGCAGGTAGAACAAAGGCCCGAGTGTCCCCTGGGGCTGGGGGCAGGGAGAAGGCAGTGCTGCCTGCCCCTGCGAGTTGGGCCAGAACCAGGCGCAGGCTCGCTCTGAAAGAAGAGCAGACGGAGGCCTAGGGCAGGTTGGGGGGAGCTGAGCTGGCTGGGGGCACCTGTGCAGCCAGGTGCCTTCCCTGGGGGCCCCCATTGCTGTGGAGGTTGGGAGCACAGGGCTGACCTGTGTTGGGGGACAGCTCTCCAGGGAAGCGCTTTGTAGCCAGAAACACTCTCTCTCTCCCCACGGTGCTGGGTTTCCAAGGGTTAAACTTGGGAATCTTTTTCTCCTGTTCACGTGGGTGCCCTGCGGGGCCTTCTCCCTGAGATGCCTGGGCTGGGAAGGTCCAGAAAGGAGGTCTTCTTGCCAGCCTTTTGTTTATCTTCCTCGTTTGCCTCAAGAGTGCGTTCAGGGGCAAGATGGGCGTTGGGGAGCTGCGTGACCCGTGTAGCTGAGTCCATCAGCACTCCTGGGTCGAAATGCAAGGTCTCGGTGTGTTTGGGTGATGAAGCTTTGGTATCTGGCCAGCTCGGAGCTCTCCCTGCTCGGCCTTTCAGTCCTTCTACTGTTGTCTTTCCCAGGTGGTTAGGAAATTGGGGCCATAGAGCTGCGGGGGCGGGAGGGGAGTGTCTTCCCACTTTCCCTTGGCTGTCCCCCCACCAACAGCAGCTCCCAGCCTGAGACGTGATGTGCTGGGTGCCTTAAGGCTACATGGCCACCAGTCGGCCTGTCCAGGGGCCCTTGAAGCATTGCTTCCTGCCCAGCACTTGGCCTGATCTGCATAGATGCACTTTGCTGGCCTTGTACCATCCCCTCACCCCCTCACTCCCCGGGGTCCTGCCACTCTGTGCTAGACTGGGCTGGGCCTGGGGGCTTGCAGCCACTTGCCCATCTATCCTCTGCCCACCAGGGCTGCAAGCCCCCGGAACTGGGCACTAAGCAACCCACATAAGCCCAGGTGGGCACCTCTCTGCCTGCAGAAGTCGGGGTGTGGAGAGCGAAACGGTCCTGTCTGCCAAAGGCAATCAGGTAGCGAGAGCCCGGAGGGCAGAGGGTGCAGACCTCGCTCTAGGCGCTGCCGAGGGGCCTGAGTCAGGCTTGCCAGCAGACGTGGCCTTGACCCTCGTTTGCCACCAGGACACTCGTCCTACAGCCCCACCTCCTGAGGCTGATTTTCTCTTTGGGTCACCAGGGTGAAGGGCCCCTGGCGTCCCTTCTCCAGAGTCTGTCCACCAGAGCAGAAGGCCCCGCTGCCCCTACAGACAGGCACAGAGGAAATGGGGAAGCAGCCAGGGCCTCCGGGTGCTGCACGAGGGTGGGTGCGTGTGGCAGGGGTGGAGGACTCCGTGCGTGGTCCTCATGCGTGGTCAGCCGTGGCTCCCTCCTGCTGCGGTGGGGAAGTTGCTGAGCCCAGCAGCTGCCGGCCGTGGAGGAGGGGTTTCCAGGGTTCTCGGGAGGCCCGCCCTCTGCCGTCCGCTCGAGGAGTGGGCTGTGCCACCAGGCAGGTGACAGAGCCTTGCCGGCCTTCCGTGTCACTCTCCCCGCCTCTCCCTTCACTTCTGGTCCAGGCGCTAGGTTGATGGCGTTTTTAATGAGCTTCCTGGAGGGGCCAGGGTAGTCTTGGCTTTGTGTGTTTACAAGCCTGTGTGCTCCCCTAGTCGGGCTGGGCCAGAGCGCTGGGGGTTCAGGAGGCAGCTCCCCCATCTGCCCAGGGACCCAGCACCCAGAGGGACGGTGGCAGCGCCCAGCCCCCATGGGATGCCTGCTGTCGGGTGGTGCCTGGTCTCAGGAGAATCGGGTGTCGCCCTTGCCCTCCTTCCCGCCCTCCCCATGGCCCTGTGGTGTCGGAGCGGCCACCTGGCTGGTAAACTGAGGAGTGACATGGCACTTTGGGGGCTGGGCCTGGGCGAGAGCCTTTTTTTCCTCCTCTCCGGTCCCCAGGGCCAGCCACCTTGGGGGGTCGGGGTGGGGGGCGAATGTCTTCCCGCTGTGAGGTATGCTTCTAGAATCTCTCCACCGAGCCTCTCCCAGCTCTTGGTGCCGGCGTCCACAGGGCTTTGGGGCCTGCGGTGCGGGGAAGTGAGGGTTTTCACGGCTCCCGTGCTTACCCGCCCAACCACATCAGCCGGGGTAGTTCTGAGATGGGCACGCATCGAGGAGACGAGTGGAGATGGACAGGTTTCCAGCGTTTTGCTGGAATATGGTTTGGAACTTGCAGCATCTGTGGTGCTTCCTGGCGTGGAACAGAGGAGCAGGTGTGTGAGCAAAGCACTGGCAGGTCCCTGTTTCGTCCTGTGTCCAGCAAGGGAGCTGCCACACCTGCTGGCATCTGCCAGGAATGCTTGTAAGGCCCCCAGGGAGGCCTGGCCTCAGGCAGGTGGCCAACCGTTGCCAAGGGCCACTTTGGTTAGAGTGTGCCAGTGCCCCACGCTGCCATTCACCTCGTAGGGTCGGGATGGTGCTCCTAAGGTCCAAAACGTCCCTCCTTCCTCTTCCCGTCGGCCTGAAAGAGATGGGAGAGGAGACACGGTTAGGATCTTGCCTCGGTTGCCCTGGAAACGTCCCTAAAATCGTGTAGGCTTCATCTGAAGCCGCAGAGGGCATTTGGGACCTGAGTATGGCTTCCAGGCCACCTTCATGGGGTCCTCTCTGCAGGTGGGCTCCCAGCATCCTTGATCTTAGCCGGCAGAGGCTGTGCTTCCTTGTAGGAGGAAGGAGTCTTAGTGTCAGTCCTGCAGCCTCACTCTGGTCGCACACCCTCCCTCCACCATCCTGAGTCCCGTCTGGTTTCAGAAATCTGCTGGTGCAGCCAGCTGCTCCTGTCCCTTCAGCCCCAGTTTTGCTGCCCCTTCCTTCAGGAAGCCTTCCCAGATAGCTCCCTGTTGCCTTAGGTGCCCTTGGCCACTCTCCATCTGCCATCCTGGCATGTCCATGGCATGTTGGCACTGGCCGGAGCCCGAACGGGTGCTGCCTACATGTGGCACCAACAAGAACGTTCACCTCTTGGTCCTGCAGCCTCTCCGGGAGCTGCAGTCAGCGCGCCCTTCCCCCATGTGTCCTGTGGTGAGTCAGGTTCAGGGACACAGTCTTGAGTGCAGTGCTGGTCCCAGAGAACCTCAGGGGCTTCTCAGTGGGCCCAGCCAGTGGGTCCAGGTTAGCTTGGAGCATCCCTATGGCACCGGACAACTTGGCTTCACAGTCACATCCTTACGTGCAACTAAGGGACAAAACCTGCATTTGCCTGCAGTGGGGCAGATGTTACCCAGAGCACATGACAGGGACCAGTGAACAGGGCCCGGCCACCTGAAGGAATCACCCGGAGAGGTCTTGGGTTGAGACGGAAGGAATCTAAGGTCAAGAAACTCAGAGTTAGATTTTCTTTAAGCATGAACAAACAACCAAAAAACCTCTTCTTTTTAAGCAAACGCGTGAGAAGACAAACTTTCAAATGACTTACCGGCGATCATTTTAAATGATGCCCTGGTTTGTGAAATCTTCAGGCTCTACGGCGCACGTTCTCCTCAAAGCACCACAGAACTTACAAGACCAGGGCTTCCTGTCCTCCTAGGTGCTTCCCTTGTAAAGCCCGGGGCACTGCAGAGTGGGCTGGACACGGTGCAGGGGCTTGTGTGCCCCCCGGGTCAGAGAGCCTTCCCGGTGGGTGCAGCTCCCAGCCCTGGGGCCCGGGGGCTGGTGAAGCCCCTGGTCTTCGTGGAATCAGTCAGGGTCTCTTTCTCAGTGGCAGGACTGAGAGGTTTGGCTGTTGCCCTGGGAGAGTGGCAGGCCATCAGCGGGGACCTGGCTTTGTCATCCTTAAGGGACCCTGAGTCTTTTCGTTTCATCTTCTTTCCGTTTTTATGAAGTAATGACTGTAGTAGATAATCGGCAGTAAAGTATAAAAAAGGAAAGTTACTGTATTTTCTGTGCGTACCTTTTCTTTTTATTATAATTGGAGCTATAACGTAAATTGTCTACAGATGTTATTCTGCGGCATTAAAAACAATAATTTAGTGGCTACAGGTGACTCACCTCTGGGTGCACCGTAGTTGGTTCTCCTCTGGTGTTGAATGTGCAGATTTCCCATTCCTGGTTCCTGTAAGTAACGGTACAGTGGACCTCCTTGTACATAAAGTATTTTTGCACACCCCTGTCTTCCTTTGGAAATTCCTAGGTGTGGAATTTCTGAGTGGAATGGTCTGAATGTTTAAATGCTCTCAATGTAAATATTAAATTACTTTACACCTTATTTTGTAACCAGGTATGGTATTTGAGTACTCACCTCGTTGGTATTCAATATTGTTCTGGGTTTAAAGAGTTTACTTTCTTCAGTGAGCAAACTGTCTGTATCTGGTTTTTATTGAAAAGTCCCGCCTGAC